ACGGTCTTCCTACGACGTGCTTGTACTACTTTCTACGGACTTCCTACGGTCTTCCTACGACGTGCTAGTAGTACTTCCTACATGCTTTCTACGGTCTTCATACGATCTTTCTACGGTCTTCCTACGGTCTTCCTACGACGTGCTAGTAGTACTTCCTACGGACTTCCTACGGACTTCCTACGGTCTTCCTACGACGTGCTAGTAGTACTTCCTACGGACTTCCTACGGTCTTTCTACGGTCTTCCTACGGTCTTCCTACGACGTGCTATTACTACTTTCTACGGACTTCCTACGGGCTTTCTACGGTCTTCCTACGGTCTTCCTACGACGTGCTAGTAGTACTTCCTACGGACTTCCTACGGTCTTCCTACGGGCTTTCTACGGTCTTCCTACGGGCTTTCTACGGTCTTCCTACGGGCTTTCTACGGACTTCCCACGGGCTTTCTACGGTCTTCCTACGGGCTTTCTACGACGTGCTAGTAGTACTTCCTACGGACTTTCTACGGTCTTCCTACGGGCATTCTTCGGGCTTCCTACGGGCTTTCTACGACGGGCTAGTAGTACTTCCTATGGACTTTCTACGTACTTCCTACGGTCTTCCTACGACTTGCTAGTAGTACTTCCTTCGTACTTCCAACGGACTTCCTACGGTCTTCCTTCGGACTTCCTACGGGCTTCCTACGGTCTTCCTACGACGCGCTAGTAGTACTTCCTAAGGTCTTCCTACGGACTTCCTATGGGCTTTCTACGACGTGCTAGCCTACGACGTGCTAGTAGTACTCCTACGGACTTTCTACGCACTTCCTACGGACTTCCTACGGGCATTCTTTGGGATTCCTACGGTCTTCCTTCGGACTTCCTACGGGCTTTCTACGGTCTTCCTACGGTCTTCCTACGGGCATTCTTCGGTCTTCCTACGGTCTTCCTATGACGTGCTAGTAGTACTTCCTACGGACTTCCTACGGGCTTTCTACGGTCTTTCTTCGGTCTTCCTACGGGCATTCTTCGGTCTTCCTACGGTCTTCCTACGACGTGCTAGTAGTACTTCCTACGGACTTCCTACGGGCTTTCTACGGTCTTCCTACGGTCTTCCTACGACTTGCTAGTAGTACTTCCTTCGGACTTCCTACGGGCTTTCTACGGTCTTCCTACGGTCTTCCTACGACGTGCTAGTAGTACTTCCTACGGGCTTTCTACGGTCTTCCTACGGTCTTCCTACGACTTGCTAGTAGTACTTCCTTCGGACTTCCTACGGGCTTCCTACGGACTTCCTACGGTCTTCCTACGACGTGCTAGTAGTACCTCCTACGGACTTCGTACGGTCTTCCAACGACGTGCTAGTAGTACTTCCTACGGACTTTCTATGGGCTTTCTACGACGTCTTAGTACTAGAGATATCGAACTCCTTCAGGCTTCCTACGACGTCCTTGTAAGACGTATACATGTGAAAATTTAAGACATAAAAGACATTTAAATCATTTGGAGCTGTCATCCAGTACTTAGATGATATATGTAGCTAAACAGTTGTTTTAGCGTTTGTTTGCCTCACTTAAACACTTCGATTCCGCATATGAATGACATATTCTTTTTTTATTATGTTGTTGGGGTCGTTCACTTTATACTTTAAAAAAAACGGTGATTCATCAAATTTCTCAAACAAGTGATTTTGTTTGCGTGTTGAAATGTTCGCGTTGTGACTTTTATAACAGATTCGCGTCGGCAATTATTCTTAAATATATTTATTCCATATGCCATAATATATTTATATTACATGTATTTAGCACTTTTTCGACTTTGTACCTGATATCGTTTCACTGTAATACCAACAATACACCAACACGATACAAGTCCATAAGACTTTAATGCACACGGGTGTAAGATTGGAAAAACAATTTACCCCCCGTTATGTAAAACTGAGAGCTACTCTGATAGTTTTTTCCCTTAACTTTTCGATTTTACAATCAGTTAGATCCAGATTTTTATCTCTCCCCAATTTAAGAACCTCTAAGCATAACTAACAATATACCAGCTAATGATACTCAGACAGTGGTAAAAAAAACTCTGGTGAAAGAAAAATAAATCTTATACTAAAACAATTTTATGTCAAATTAGAAATAATGCTAGCAACTTAAATTTTCATCTTTTTAATGACCATCTAGTAAAATCTGCTTCATGTGAATGTGGTTACATACAGGAAACAAGTCATCATTACTTCTTTGACTGTGCCAGATACCATAATCACAGACAATTACTCTCGGCTTCTCTATTTTCTATGATAATCACTCACACTATACTCTACATACTATACGGGATGGTTGTAATCAATGTGACGATGAAACTAATAAGAATATCCTAGAGAGTGTTTCAACCTTTATTGTGAACTCAAAAATATATATATAAACAGAATTACCTATTATCAGCTTATATTACAATGTACTTGTATTGAAAACATGAATATTCACATTAAAAGAACTGCTGACATCTTTGTTGTTAGCAATTAATAACAAGTATTTGTATAAGTTTATTCTTAAAATATTATAATGTGAATGTTAATATACCACACGATATTGGCATAGCTTATTCATAATATCCAATGTATATAAGTTTGATATTTAACTATATACGAGTCACTCTGTGTGGATCTTGAATTCCCATTGAGGATATAGTGAAAGTTAATATTCACTCATTATCCTGGTGAGGTCGGGATACAGCACAGTTTGACCTGTAATTTCTATAAGCAGTTTGAGTTATCTCCCCTATACTATTGACTTGCACATTGATAAATGTTTTGTATATAAGCTGTATCTTTTTCAGTTTTTATTATAAATTATAATATACATTTGTATATATGCTATTTCACACTAATGTATGCAGGAGATAAGAGATATAGGCATAGCCTGTTGATCGATCCCATTCATATACCATCATGAATAAAATTTGTTAAAATGAAATGAAATTGGGAAATTCCGTCCTCGGGGTTTTCGATTTGAAAAGGGATTTGCACCAATTTGAAAACACTGAAAGTGGAAATAGAGGTTACACTACGAGTGGTTGTTGAATATGGTCTTTATTTCACCCTCGTTAGTTAATTTTCAAAAGTTACAAAAGACACGAGCTTTAGCGAGTGTCTTCCTGTAACTTTTGAAAATTAACTAACGAGAGTGAAATAAATACCATACTCAATACGTAGCCACGAGTCGTGTGATCTGTTTCTACCACAATCTCAGTCGGAAACAGCTGGAGTATTTCCTGATTTGAATAGCATACACATTATTTTGTTGACAAGGCTGGCGTAGTGATATAACCAATATGTAAAAAGTCACTCATTAATATTCAAAAATGACATTTTATTTTTACAAATTTTATAATTTTCTAAATTAATGTTTTGGCAACAACTTCGTGAAAAATAAAATGGATGGACGACTTTAAATATTGAGAGTATGCAATATTGCATTAACTTAAATAATTAATTATTAATATAAATTAACCACGGACTATATGCGCGTAAGCATATCGTACGAAGTCTGCTTCCCGCCAAGTGATGAAGACGAACTAATCGCTGTCAATGTCAAAAACCATAGGCCTGGGACGTTTCTTCGTGAAGTTCTAAGGTTGACGTTTATAGTGAGAGCTCCGCCATAGACAGGCCCTCCAAATATCAATAACTGGACATGGGGAGAACGAAATCTTTTCCGACGCTATTACAGATCTTGTTTGGGTTTCACAGAGACATATATATTACGTCTCTGGGTTTCACGACATGGACACGCGACGGCATGGCGTCGAAACGATATCGAGCGAATGTAGCAATTTTGCCTGGAACTAGCGATCAAATCTTTAAGCATCATCTTCTTTTGGTATTGCCTTAATAACCCCCTTTTCCCATCGCATAACCTCACAAAAGTCACCAACATTTGCCGGATGTTGACAGCAGACGACGTAAAGCGCGTGGCAAAAAGCGCGTGAAACAAATCGTCCGGTCAAGGTTCATCTTCTCGACCAATCAAAACTACGGAAGGTCATATACCACGTGTGGTGTATAACTCATATTTATTCAACAGTCTGCATGTTTATACAATGATCTGACAGTGGAATAACACAGCGTAATGTAGTAGAATTTACCTATCTTACACCCCTGGGTTAGGTCAGAAACCGCAAATAAACGTCGTCGCAATTTCCGCATTCAAAATGTTATCGATTTGGTGACGTCAGCTTATTGTTATCCCATTGCGACGTCATGTAAATAGAATGGGTGTAAGATATAGAATTAAAAAACGAGTGTTGGTTGGTTATCATGTTTATCTAACTCGGGTTATTGAATTTTAAATTGATAACGACACGAACTGTACGGAGTAATACACAGCCTTCATCGGGGACCTTTTCCTCCCTCAACATTCACATATTTTATCCAGAAAACCATCTATTTCTCTCGTTTATACATTACTACTGCCTGATCCCGCTCAGGAAAACTAATTGCCATGAATAATGACCTCGCAATTGGTAATGACGTCATACTTAGAAGATTGGCTGATGAAATAACGTCAAGGATGTGACCCACTAGCGGGTAATCACAAATGTTTACAGTGTGGAATGAGAAAACCTAATAGTTGTGTGAGAAAGAACCTTCTTACAACCATTTCCGACCATAGACAGTGCTGTCAAACAAGCACAGGAATGCGAGAAACATTTTTCTGTCACCTATATCAATTACTCGCCTCGAAACAACATGTTCGATACCAAACTAGTTTACACCTTTGTGCCCTTACTCATCACCACACTATTATATGTATTACCGTATGTGTACTGACAGTGGACGTTGTACTTAATAACTAAGGTTTTTACATTATGTGTAGACGTGCGAGTAGATAACATATCTGCATCCTGGTATCTGTTATGTTTACAACTATATATTACTCGTTGCATTACTTCAATATTGCGATGGTGTCCAATCAACCTGGCTGTCCTGGCCTATAAGGAAAAAAGGAAATCCAAAATGTTCCATGCACATACACGATGATGTAGCTATTATATGTAATCAGTGTTCCCAAGCAATCTGTGTTACCTGTGTAGTTACGGCACACAAATATCACATCGACAGCTTTGTAGAGCTCCGCTATATAGTTCAACAGAAGATATCTTCCATCCAAGACTTTATTAGCAGAACTGAAAAAGAAACACTACCGGGGCTCCTTCTCGACATCGAGTCCACTCGAAATCAAGAGGCGGAGTCTGACAACCGTTACGATGAACTGGTAAGAAGTGTCAAAGACCAGGGTCGACTGTGTAAAAAAGAAGTCGATGATTTAGTTGAAGGATATGTTTCAAGGTGTCATGACCTCAAACAACAGGACAAAAAAGAGCTAAAGGATCATATTGGCAATCAGGAAAGCAGATACGAAACTGTGTCTTCTCAAGTACAACAGTGTAAGCTGGTCCTGCAGAGCGGTTCCAATATCCAAGTATATGACGAGGAATCGAAAACTGATACAGTAAGTTTGCAAAGTCTTGATTTATCCGTTTTACAGGATGCATCATTCTATCCTGGTAAAGACAGAGTTCAGATAAAGCATGCCATTGGAACACTAGTCACTTCCCCTGACAGTGAACGATTATCGTCACTCAATGAATCTGACCATTCAAACGAAAATTCAAACCAGCTACGCCCATATGTCAAACCAATACAAACCCCTACAACTGACCAGCATCCACGAGGAACATCAAACCTACTGAAGCCAACAACCAGGCAACAATCAACCACCCAGCAAACAATGAAATTTTCAAGTAAACAGAAAATCACCAGAATCTGTCCGACATCAACAGAATGTGCGTGGGTATGTGATCAAACTCCAACAGTGGTCCTGTTCGACAACCGCGGTCAGATCAGACGCACAGTCGAACATAGAAAAGACGTAAGGGACATAAGCCTTGACCCTAACACTGGACATTTGTGGATGTGTGACAAAATGCAGGGAAACATTCTCGAAGTCTTGCCATTCTCGCAGTCCCCGGTACCTAGATTCAATGTAGATGGCCGTCCACGCAGTCTGTGTGTAACCATTGAGGGTCGAATAATGGTGGGTATAGATGATACAAAATCCAAGGTAAACGTTTACAACAAAGAAGGAAACATACTTTATTCAACCACTAACCAGCTGTCGGTGATCAAGTATCCGCAATCTATCGCCCAGTGTCCAGTTACAGGAAACATAGCCCTGGTGTGTGATTGGAACAGTGTCATTTTATGCGACCCGAATCTGAAGGTCATACATAAATACAAGGGACATGATGTACAAGCGCGGAAAGCGAACTACCCTAAATATCACTTTAAAATAAAGTCAATCGCGTATGACTGCAGAGGGTATATCGTGGTTTCTGAAGATAGGGGACCAACAACGCTGGTCAATGGGTCTGGACAACGCGATCGGCAACTCACCAGAAACAGATGTCAGATTAAGTGCTCGGGGACAAATCCAGGAGTGGTTGGATGGGTAGGACAAGAAACAGTCACCGGAAATTGCGTGATCAAACGCCTCAGGTACTAGATTTACTAGATTTACTTGATTTTATCATATTACCTCAAGCAATGAAGGAATATTGTCACAATTTTTATGGATTATTTTGCATGCACGTGTTAATATCAAGTGAAGCTCATAATGTAAATAGATAATTGAAAAGAAATTTATGGCAAAATATTACGTGTTTCTATTGGAATTGGATTTCTTTCGTAATTATTGAAACCATTGAGATGAGAACGGATTTTTAAACCTATATGATTTAGGATTATAGAGTTACGCCTCTTAGTCAATTTTCAAATCTCATAATGTAAATGTATTCCTAGACGTTTGTTGTATCTAGCTGTAACAACCAACACCTTGCTAGTAGTTCAGCACAATGTTACTTTTTTTCTTAATTAAAATCTTTCAAACACACTTACAATCAAAAGAAATATCTATGCAGTTGAGTTAAGCAGTTGGATATTTTTCTAGTGATTGTGATTATGTATACACACTGTGTTGGATTAGTGTATGGAGTGAGTGGTAATGTGTGGGGGTAAATGTGCGAAATATGTGAAGGTAGAGTGTTTTTGTTAGTGTTCGATGTGTGTGTGTTCTGGTAGGGTGTACAGGCTCAGCTAGTATGTTTTGATAGACTATGGGGTTGATAGGTGCGGGTAATTGTGTTTGTAACTGCGTGAATGTAGTTTTAATTGGATTAGTGCGGGATGGTTTTGTTCTGTTAGAGTGTAGGGGTTAGTGAGTGAGATAAATACATTTTTTGGCGTTGGTGTTTGTGGGTAGTGTATTGAGATAAGAGCAGATATAAACCTGCAACGTATCAATATTTTTTAACAATTTTCACAATAAAAAATGTCATTAGAGATTAGATTATTAGAATTGTCGTTCGGCTCAAAATACTAAAACTATGAATGATTTTTTTTCTTTTTTTTTATCCCAGGCATTACGAAATACACCTTTCGGATATGTTGGTAGCGACTTGCACTTACAGTAGACGGACTGTTAAACATTTTGGCTGTTCGTAGATCGGTTAACACAAAGCAAATGAATTTGTTGACAGAAACTTTGTTGTCACGATAACGAAAGTGGGACACCAGGCCAATTAGCTGTCGATGAACTGGGACCAGTTAACTGCTGTATAAACAGTTTTATCAATCGTTATTAAAGCTTGAAAAACAATAAGCATCTTTTATTTAAACCTTATGCTATTTCGATGCTCACGACAGCGTAAGGCCCTCGGCTACGTCGAGAGCCAAAAATGAGGGGAACACTCCAGGCGTGCTTCAGAGTTTGAGTGTTTTACTGCAGAAATTGAACAGCAGCTAAAAATATTAAAACACAGATATGGTTTGATTGCCTACAAAGCATTTAATGTATTTTTTCCGCACGTATTTACATATTATCATGTACCCATTGTTTAATACGCGAAGGATATATTGAAAATGCTATCCAATATACATTTTGAAATCACAATTGTGTCAATTTTCCCTTTCATATTTCTATAGGATCTACCATTTTACCGAGCTACAATGTCCACAAATACATACACTGGCACCACACATACTTACACGTGTACGCACACATAAATCAAAATAAACACAAATGAACATTCGAGTGTTTCCTATTTATTAAACGAAAGCGTTGTATGCAAACAGTAAATTTTAATATGACAAATACAAAAGCATTATGTATTAAATGTGCCTGCATATGGGCATAGTATACTTGTAGTTATTTTAAAAATAATTTAATCAAATATTAATGGTTTTATCAGTTTTTTAAATAAGTATTGTACCGCTGATGATAATAATTTTATCATTTTAATTTGAAGTTTACATTGAACAAGCACGACGGTCACACTGCATCAAAACACTTTGTTACTTACTGTTTTGAATATAGCAGTGAATAATAATATAAATCAATATCAACATTGTTGTACACTGTAATTTGTATTAGAATTTCATGATCTAAAATCTTGAATATTAAATACTAATTTTAAAAAATTATATGAAAGGGCTTTGTATATGTTGTACAACTTGAGCTCATTCCTATTGCTATAAATATAGCTATTAATATTAAAATAAATTAGGGCAAATCGTAAACGTTCTGCCCTTATAAGTTACCATTTAGTCATGAAGACAAAATGCGGGAAGTGAACACATACTTTCACATGTATAGACATGACCTTTAACTATATACCCCGGCTACCACATCGCATTCTTAACCTTGGACTTTACTCCTATAGAGATAGGTTTTCCTATTACATTTCCACACCAAATCACCACCTATTTTGTCTGACCTTAGCGCCCATAACTACCAGCGTCTGAAGTTGTCAATATGTTTTACTATATTTTATATTTAGCATTTCACGTTTGGCTCTCTTGCATTAGTATGTACAAACATGACGGATGTACATACCTCATGTTTGTTAAAGCTGTGTATGTGCGGATTATTGTTGGTTCTTTTCGGTTTAAGCTCAAGAATTAAGCTCAGTCAGTCAACAATCAAGTCCATTGTTAAAAAGTTCTTCTCATCTTGGAAGATTTACATTTCGAACACTGTTGTAGATTATATTTTGTTTATTTCACATTTATTTATTTTCATAAAAGTCTTGAGAGGTATGGTTTTCAAAATCAAAGCAATAGTCATGCCGAAAAAACTGTTTTGATTGCATAGTATCATTTTTTGGTAGTGTGCACATTTCTTCTTTCGTCTGAAATATACACTCCTGTCACCTGCCATATTTTCGTAACGTTCGAAAGTCGTCATTGGTTTCTCCTTTCGGTGTAGAGGGTTCATTATCAAGGGAGTTCAATAACAGACAATGATACAAATCAAAGTAATCACCAATAGTTCCTCTATTTTCATAATGGTGAATTATTCTGTTTGAAAGATGTCAATACAGGTTCTATTCAATAGGATAAGGTATAAAATACATGTAACTATTATCAACTCTCAGCAAAGCAGCCATGTTGCTTTTTCACAAAAAAATGTCATGCGACACACATAGTCCAAGTCAAGCATTTGGTCTTGTCACCATCCCTTGCCGGAAAAAAAGAGTTCTAAATATATACGGAGCGAACTGAAAACCTGAAACAAAAGATACACTCAAACGTTATCAATTTCATATAATCATTGCTTCGTCCGATTCTTAGATAACTTATAGAATCTTTCCATACCTTGAGGGTAAGGTAAAGCTTTCCCGTTACACTCTCTGAATAGGGGAGGATTAATTAGGATATTATCATTGCAATACTACCCCGTAATATGTTTTCATCCTGATTTGCCTATTACCTCTTCCGTCGTGAGCTGATTGTGACGGTCATAGCTGATTGTTCATGTGACTCCATATTTATTTTTATTTTCAAGTCATATACAAATGTATGTCATAAACAGAAAAATCCTATCGTAAGTGTTAAAAGAATAATTATGAACAGGTGCAAAGGCGGATCATTCTGTGAATCATATGGCATCGCGGATTCTAGTCTTTCAAGGACTGATGAAATAGATTTGTAAGCAATGTGATACGGGTTTTTGAAACTGATATTGTTATACAATTTTTTGAAATGTTCACAAAAATGCATGTCTTTTTAAGAAATGATCAGAGTTCTGAAGCTTATGGTAAAGAAAATTTAAAAAGTTTAGTGAATAACACAAAACAATCAAAGGTATATAAATATGTAATATAAAATATATCAAAATTGTTACAAAATATATCTATAAACATTTCATTTATTTTACAACAGTTATGAATCATTATGAATTAAGATTTTTCCAGCTTATATTATATTATAAATTTTTGTTGCCAAAGATGAAAGTGCGCAGCGTAATGTAACATATACATTAAATTTGTAAGCAAAAATGGGTTTACATATTTCTGCTAAAAGTGTGTATTAGATAAATCGTTAAATAATTTTGAGGCAAATAATGGTTTTTTTATATCAGGGTAAAAAGTTATTTCATCCGTAACTTAAGAGGTCAGAGATAATTGTATGTTAACAGAACTAAAGCATTGTAACATGAACAACCTGATAGCTTAATTAAATCTTAAACTGGTAGAACCTTGCCCAATGTGCTGAACATGTGTCTTTTTATTGATTTAAAAAACGGTTTAACCGGCGTTAGGGGGGGGGGAGGGACTAGGACGTCACAGTCAAGAATATTTAAATCGCGTGCTTGGTATGAGTGATACGGTGACTGATGTATGCAAGATCCCTTCATATGAGCAAGCTGCCCTTTTCAATAGCTAAGAACGTCTTATTAAGACTCATGAATCGACAGGAAATTATGTTCGACAATATGTGTAATAAAATTAACTCGTGTGTTTATGTTTAAAACACAACATCATATTCATATACCTACAGTATAAGTATATTGTTGTTGTTAGTACCCATAGTTTATACGATTTCCAGATCCACATCACATTCATACTATTTTGTATTACCTCAATATTGTAATAGTTTGAGATTAAAATGCGACCAGTGAAGGACCGTTACGTGTCATCATATTTAATGTATCAGAAAAAATAGTTTGTTTTTAAAGTTTACTTACCGAAATGGGCTTACATGTACTCGTATCATTTTGTAACCATCTGTGCAAGTCTGTTATTTCCTGATCCTTCTGTAGCTGATGCAGTTTAGTGCATAAGTCGATGCTGGAGAACGGTACACTCATAAGCAGTCGATAATGTTTCTTCCATTCAAAGTAACTGTTGAATTCTGCATCATTGTGAGTGAGATAGTTTAAATATTTACCTAGATCTGCGACGGTTTCAAAGTCATGTAAATTAATGAAAGATTTCGGCGGTACAAGTTCTGTCATTGCTGTTTCCTCAAGCCATGGCCAGTTCACAACAGGAATAACGTTGTCCTTTAATGTGTTCCAAAACTTCTCGGTGATATAATCCCTGCAGTTTGAATTCTCGAATGCAATCCTAAATCGATATTGGCTTGACCTGCATTTGCTTTCACCTGTTCGTGGGCAGGATAGAGTTCCACAACTCCCGTATTGATGAAGGTTGATATAGCGGGCTAGTTCTTGAAGTATTCTGCGGTCGGAGTCAGAATCTTGTTGTGTGTCCCAAAATCTCGTACTGTGACCTACAGAAACAGATGCTTTGGGAGGGTTTCGGCTACGTTGTGAAATAGCTTACCATCTGTATCGCTCCGCATTATCGGCGCAATCACTAACGATCGATGCTGCCATTTTGGATTTCGTCGCTGCATAATTGATTGGAGTATATTTGAGTTGTTCCTTATTTGATAGAGGCCCAAATCGACCGTAGAAAGCATGTATCGTTGAATCACGTCTATAGGTAAGTGTCCAGTTAAACATGTTGTTTACTCGTCTCAGATCTCTACTAGTAAACACTCTGGGAGGTGGCTCTGCATTGGTAACTATCCACACCTGACTTTCATCCCTATAGTCGGGTATTAAACTATCTATATCATGGAGATGAAATACAACTGCATCTGCAGATTTTATTTTCGATTTATCTGCTGTAGCAATACACTTACATTTATATAGTTTAAACGCGTTCTTAAATGAATCCACCCAGGTGTCGTCAAAAAAGAATCCGGTCCATATCAACACAGTCTTAGACGTCTTATTTACCCAATGAGATGTGTTGTGTGTTAAAACTACCGGTTGCTCTAATACGTCAGTGTCTGAATGTGAATATATCTGCCAAATAACCATGACAATGACGAATGATATAATCAATAATATATACTTGCGATATGTTTGCAGTTTTTTATACATTTTCTCCTATCCAAAACCTTTAATCTAAGAATAATCATTCACTTCCCCATCACATGTACAATATATCTTCATTGATTCACACCTTGTACTTGTATCCCAACGAATGTGAATATAAAACATGAGTGCTAGTATATACACCAACGGAAGAGACTAAGGGTCACATGTCAAAATGAATTAATCTGAGTGGCCTAACTTCAGCTATTGAAACTCGTGCTTGATAAGCAAAACAACCGGAGTGGTAGATTTCAGAAAACTTCGTGTGGCGATAGTTACGTTGTGTGATGGTTGTGCATGATTTATCCGATATTGGCTTGGTGCGATCAATTTAAGTTTCGCTTAATATTAATACTAAGTTAATGAATAATAATATATTTCGTTTTTATTATTATTTATTTGAAATTTTGAGAATTATCTCAAAATTTCGTCTAAATAACTCCAAATGTCGAGTTTTTTCTGTAGATGTACAGTAGGCGATAGGTACAAAGTTCGAGTAAATAAATCGAAATTTGTAGTAATTATCTCGCAATTCTCAGTACATTGTAAGTAAGTCGATTTTTTTGCCGAGTTATCAAGTCGAAAATGTGAGGTATTAGCTTGAAATTTTGAAGTACTATCTCCAAATTTCGAGTAACACGTAAAAAAGAACATTAACTTTTTTGCTAAATGGCCCTAATGGTTTTCCGTATTGACCATAGAGGGATTGAAATAAATGACTCATGGGCATCTATACACTCTGTTTATGATTTTATCCTACAGTGAAAATGAAACGATGAAACATACGCGTGTGTTTGATGATCTGTTCCTCTGGGCGTTTAAATAACGTTCGAATTTCGTTTTGATTCAGTATGACAGCTTTTGATTAAATTCAACAAGTTGTGTTAATATTAAAAGTTAAAGCTATGGCTTATAAATGTAGAGTCAGAAAAATCGTTTGAGTCAAAAAAGACGAAAAGAATATGGTCCTCTCCTCCTCTTAGTGATATCTTTTTTCACAAATGTTATATTTGCATGCAAGCAACAAGACAACTGCATTCCTAGGCATTATCAGTGCCATTTGGCCAAAGACAATTTAAATTTTGGATTTGGCTTTGTCCATTTGACCATTTTTTAAACCTGTTTTCTGATAGACAATTCAATAACATTCATTTTATTCGGCGTTGAGTTCATATATTTTGTTTGTTGTATATGCTTGTTCAATGAAACGAACAGCCATCTGTCCTAGAAGGGTCATTGGTATCCAAATTAACGATTATGACGTCATAATAACAATGACGTCAGCAATCGTCTCATGGCATTTATAGCCTATATGAATACCATCTAAATGCGATAGGATTATATAGTGTTAATGCCATACGATGGTAAATATTTACAAAAGGACATCTAGGGCACTGATGACGACGATATTATAACTGTCGTAACTTTAACAAAGCATCCATATTTAAAGGAAAGGCGCATGTTTATATTTAGCTCAACTCATATGAAAGTGTACACCAACTGCCAGAAGATTTGTTCAGAAACTGTAGGACGGATTGTATCAACACGTTGCAAGTGTGATTATGGTGGATAACAAAGGGCGATCGTTTTCTTAATAACAAAGTATGGGCAGTATGTACTGGCTCAGAGAGAGAACTACGCGTTTGTTAGTTACAAAGTCAATAGCGTTTGATTGTAAAGGGGAAATCATTGTTTCTGAAGAGAGGGATGAAACACCGCTGAAAAAAAGGTACGAACACTTTCGGCAACTCACTAAAAGCAGATGTCATGGTACAACAGGAAACAGATAATTGGAGTAGGCTTTTCAATCGTCTCAAGTACTTCAGCGACTAAAAATACTTTTTATCTATCAATGCACAATAAGCTCATCTTTGTAATACCGGAAAGTGGTTAACAGATACATGGAACACAACGCTAGTGAGTAATTGAAATTGTCATTGTATCAGTTCGTACTCTGAGCGTCATATATAAATACAATAGTAACCGGATACAGATGTGAAGAGCGACATACTCCAAATATGATTTAATACAAGTATTCAACGTAAAGCGCTTAAGATTAATTTTAAAAATTAGATAGGGCGCTATATAAATGTTGTATATGATTATTATTGTTAAATATATATATGAGCATAGAGGATTTATCGTGTGATATAGGAAAACTGCTTATAAAACTTTCCAAAATCTATAAGGATAAATCCCCATTTCCTCTCGAAGAAAATGCATGATTTTCTCTTTCTTGCGAATTGATAATTATAGTATGTCTAATACATATACACAATACAAGAACGTTAAATGTAGCGGCGTCGAATAATGTTTTGACTGCAAAAATACCAGTTCATCCTTCAGACAAACCTCGAGCCTGTAATGTGAATGCTAACTAGCTCTAGAAAACGTGTAGAATGATCATTTAAAGTGACCCTATAATGCAGATAAGGTTTATATTAAATACGGCAATATGAGTATGATTTGTAAACAGGTCGGTATATTCTATAGCACGGCTAAAGTATTGATGAGTATACTCAGTAAAAAATCTTTGATTATAACCATGACGTAAATAAACATATTTTAGTCAATTTTTCTTGAGCCCAAATTTCATGGTTTCCCGACATAACACCATTTCGGGGGTAAATCGTGAAATACCTACTCAAACGAAGAAATGCTTCATATCTAACTTGTAATTAATTACTTCGTGGACTTAAGTGGATGAAGATTACCGACAAAACCGACGAAATAAAAAATTATACAAACATTAGTGACTTCAGTTTTATGTTATTATCACTTTTTCTCCTAAGAAAAAAGAGGGAGAAAAAAATGTTTTTAAAATTAAAGCTGAAGTTTTTCAAAAACGCTTCAATCCTGTTACATAGGTTTTTGAGAATAGAAAATCAAATTCTGTATGACCGCATTAAGTACATACAGGGTCAAGGACAGCTGCTGTTCAGTAAGAGCATAATACTTAGATGCCTGTTCAACAACTAGAAGAAGATTGATTCAGAATGCTGGTATATATGTTAAACAGAATATTACCGTAATTCACTTCTTAATTACTAAGGTGTGTCTATGTTATTAACAGTGATGTCTCCTGTGTTGTGCAGTCTGTGTTATAAGTCACTAGAACAGGTTTTACTATACAGAATCTAAGCAGCCACCAAGCGTGATTAGTCTAAAAGATAACAAACAAATCACTCTGCATTGCAAGCTTTTTATGTTGTTTTATCATAATATTTAATAACATAACTTCAAATAATTGTACACAAAAATGCTATTAATAATCATCTGTATCAAGCGTTTTGATAAGGTTTAAGAGCGGATTTTTGAACGTCTGCTTTAATTTATAATCATTATTTTGTAGTAATTAGCTGTAACAATTTACAATTTGCTAGTAATTTATAAATATGATAATATTTTCTTAATGATGGTCAGTCAATCAAAAGAAAAATGACCTACCTTAAACTTTGAATTTATTGGTTAAGGTTCGAAGGCACAAATGAGTTCTGCCATTAGAGAAAAAAACAATTCTAAAAGCTAAAATCAAGTGCCTGTAATACTTAACAGATACATGTAATGCTTGAAGTAGGATACTAATTTTGATCGTTCGTATTTTTTTTTAAATTATATTTTATGTGTACGAACAATAGTTTGAAGTTGGATAATTTAAATATTTGAAATGTAAACAAAGTACTCTGATTTATAAGTTAACACTTACTGAAAAACATTAACGCAGATAAAAGCCGTATGTTTGGTAGTATATGTAATTTAAGAACCTTAATATGTACGTAAATAGCAAAACACGAATTCAAGGGAATACATTAAAATATATATGTTCAATATAAACAACGAACTATCTTCAATGCAAAACTACAAACAATGGACAACTGAGTAGTTAACTTAAATGTGGTAAGACAGTGTCATTGTATAAGTAAGATTTTTGTTATTGATGTATACGGTTGGCATCGAAGTAATAGATTTACCTCCTTAAATTTAGAGTTGAAGGATACACGTAAGACACATGTGATTGCACCTTAAACACTGAAGATATGAAGTTTGCGACATTTAATGTCCATGCTTGTATGTTAAATTGGTCATGAGCAAGTTTTTCATCATTGTTTCATGAAAGTAATGTAAAGTTAAATTTACAAAAACAACACTATGTTTAGTGGAAACAGGACTGATACAATATATTGTATTAAACGAAAGAAAGACATCAGTTATCACAGAATACGGAGACGAAAGAATAAACCGGAAGAACTTCCGGCACCTCATCCATAATAATGTTTTTTTATCAATTCTTATCTGGACGGCGACACAACCTTTTATCACAAATATGTGTCTCAGACAGACAATTTTGATTCCTTCACATGCTCATCTGTCCGGCACCTTCATATATCTGTTCCGTCCGGTCGCTTTTCGTTGAAGAATATAGAAATAAGCACACCTGAAATGTATAATATGCAGCCATTATTGCAGTTATGTATCTAAAAAGCAGGTGCAATCATGAAGATAAACAATGAATGGCTTAGATCTGCAGGGATTTTACACAACACAAAAATGGCTTATGACGAATGATTTTTTTTTTTTCAATATAAGATACGTAAATTGAATTATATGTGCCAGGTTTTTTCTCCATTTACCAATTAATTAGTATGATCGAATATATAAACTTTTCGTAACAGTCAAGTACGCCGTTTTAAATCATTAACTAGATAACTAAAACAAAACTCTCAAGAAAATGTGCAGGAACAGACACATGTGCCCAGTCAACTACGAATCAATTATAATAAATAAAGATATACATAAAAGACAATAAACTAAAAAATGCGAGTGACAGTAATAAGCAAATGATTGTCTGGTCCTCGTTGTCTCGTTACAATTTAGGGAAAATTAATTAAACTTACTTGTGAACGAAAACGCTGCAACCATAAAAAATAGTCCATACCATCCTAACGAGTTCTGCAGATTCGATGTAAGAACAACCCCTATTGGACTTGTAACGATCTGCAATTAAACAAAAGCCGAAACTGCAATGCATTATCAAAGTACAGCATCTTACCTAATTTCAGGGAAACTAATCTATCGATCTTAACTTTACCGGAATAACAGTTTCACATTTTCTTTTATTATATTACAAATTCTAGACAATCTGGAGATTGAATGGGTAGAAGCAGCCCTTGTACCACGAGATCCCCTTATGAACATCCATATGCATCTGGCTGTCCTGGTGCTGGAAGTTGTATACATGTATGTGTTCTTGTTATGTGTCAGTATTTCCATCAACTCATTTAAAGTGACATACCACTTGTGCACTATGGCAGAGCAAAAAATGTAATCGGTCTAACGTTAACATTTACCTCGGTATTACCAAAGCATATTTAATTATGTTTCAACACCGATCTTAATTATGATAAGCATGGTTTTTTTCCTAAGCGTGGATTGCTCTTGATTTCTTTATCAACATGAACATAATACACCAACATAAAAAAAAATCATTAAAAATCAGACAATACCTAAGTTTTGACAAATCAAAAACTATTTTATAGCGGCCATCTTTTTAAATGGTTTATGGATGCCGTGCTAGATTTCGCAGTGCCACAATACATTTATATACCATACTTTTATAAAATGGAACAACGGCAGTATGAAGTCACTTTATGGTGGCCATCATGTTTAATGGCACAATGAAGTGGTGGTAAAGAAGCAGTGCTATGAACTTGAATGAAATTGGAAAATATCTCAATTATAACCAATCAGTAGTCAGTTTACAGCCATTATATTCGAGCGTTATCATCAATTGAAACAATTTAACATGAATAACGTGTATCACCTTTTTCTTAAGAAGATCGTTTCAACTAGTTCTCAAAGCAATGTTTTGTATATATCAAACAACATTCAAGAAAATCTAGATATACGTACTGAAGCTGTAAATACGAATCCATAGTTGATGGCGTAGTATTTCTGTCCAAAACACTTCGCTGTAGCCGTTGGCAGAAGTGAAAAATTACCGGAAAATGACAGGAACAGAAGGCAGACGTATAAGAGGTAGAGGGCTGAGCCAAATCTTTCCGTCAAAGGAAATGTCAGTATACATACACAAAACAACCCACAGGACAGTATGGAGGCTACCTAAAATGTAACGGTAGTATCACACACACAAGACCTGGAAATTCTAGACATGTCTGAAGAGCAGTCTTTCGGATCAAAACGACGGTATTTTTTCGTATATTATATAAGACGTATCAATATATACTTATTATCTCGCCATTTCTCGTGATAACCTGTCTTTCATCTCCTTGATAGCTCTAGCGTGAGAGCTGACAAACGTGCTGCTACCGCCTTCATAAACGTGAATGTTTTGTTTTGGTATCTTCTTCGTTGCCTTCTGTTTATTTACGTTCGCATTTTTTTCTTTGTTTTCACTACTTCAATTTTTTTGGCAAATAGAAATAAGTTCCTTGAAGGAAAGGTCACAACATGAAATCAAATTGATGCTATGTGAAATAAAACTTGCCTTGAAACAAAACTTGTCTGCCAGGTAGCCCCATAATATCCGCCCTCCACCATTGCACACAGCCGCTAGGGAGCCGACAATAGCTAGAAAGTGATCATCTTTGATGAACGTCTGCCCATATGTCTGAAATATTGAGAGTATATTATTATTTTATTTTATTCCACTTGGACAATACAGTGACAATTATGTGATTTCATTTAAAGTGGAACACTGGATTTCTTAGACTTTGAGGTTTGCCTTAAGCTTGATGACCACGATTGTTAATTTTGTGTAGAAGTATGGTTTATATTATAAACACATGTTTTTGTATGCTACTACACTTCCAAGTTTCTTAATTCTTGCAGCAAAGAGATTTTAGGCACCTCAACTATGCTTCAAAAGTGTTTAAAACTAGTTTGGATTTCCATCGTTTTTTATCCTAGCATCATCGACGAGTTGTGTGAATATGCACATTGAGAATATCAGCTATAACCTTTGACGACAAAAGTCAGCTTGGTCATAACATCATTTGCATTTGTGACAATTGGCACTACGATCTCAATAACCTTGCGAATGTACATGATTGAGTTGGGTGTTTTTTAAGGGCCTTAAATATCGTGATCATAATTAGAGATATCGTTTTATTTGATGAAAATGTTCTATGATTACCAATTGAACGGTAGATTAACGAACAAACCACGTCAGGCAATTAGGTCACTTGATTACAAAATAGCATTGATACATGCACCACAAACCCTCGGCTGAGTAACAATTCCACTGATATTGTGCCATGCGCCAGTGAACTGTGTTACGCTACAGGTGCCGGCACAGTACAGTTATACCCAGTCGAGTCTCTTCATACGACCATCTAAAGGTTGTTTTGTCATTGTTCTGGTGAGATTTAAGGATCCGTGTTCCAGTGGGGGCAAAACACGTACATACTGTTACCTCCTCTTAATTTCGCTTTCGGTATAACTTTAAGCTCGACTTGGCCAGGGCACTTTCATTGTCTGGGTACATGTAGCTATTTTTCAGACCTACAGTCTATTGAATTGATGGAATAATGGAAGGTGCAAGGTTTGAACCCTGATCTAGCCTCATTACAATTTTACAATCAGAACATGAAAATGAATATTTTGGTTACCTATATACTTACCTTATACAGAGACGATATAAACTGGATCCCTTGTCCATTAAACAAAAAGAGAAACCACAGCATATAAAATGACTTCTTCTTCAGAACCTGCCTTGGCGAATAGTCGGTATTATGTACACTCCCGCTATTGAAGTAATACATATATATCTTATTTACAAAGCCTATCTATCTTATTACACGTATTAACAGCTCACCGGGGTAATAACAATTAATATTTGACGTTAACGTGATACAAAGCAGCCCACTAGGACTAACATAAAAGTAGTATAAAGCAGCTTACGTGGATGGGTAATAGCTTTGAATCATTATTATAAATGTAGTAAAAAGCAGTTCATTGGATAACAATATCTAATCATTTACTTAGGCATGATACAAAACTGCGCTTAAATCATTTGTCCTGCTCACATAGCTTAACGTGTACATTATAGCAGTAAGACTTGTTTCAGACTAAGATAAATCATGCAACACCACATGTTACTTTAAGGATCCCTGGTCCACTGCCCTGTAGTTGTTTTTGTATACACAGTAACAGGGGTTAAATTCGTGTTGGTTATTATTGCAGCACTGTTTTGCCAGTACACTTCGGTTCACCAGCTAGCTTAGTTAGTAAGAGCTACAGTATAACAATCTGAAGTATGATTTGTCAGAGCTATTGTCATGCCGGAAAGTTGTTTTCTATGCGTAGTGACCGATTTTGGCAGTGATATGGGGATCCTTAAATTTGTATCAATTAACCTTTAAATTTCTTAATCTTTTTCTTTAACTTACATGGATGAAAGCAGCTGTGTTTCCTCGTCATTGCGGTTGACTTGCTCAGAAATCTAAGGTAAATTTGATAGCATAATAATAGAATGACCATAAATAAAATATTAAGTTTTAATGACAATGATATTGAAAAAGGAACAAAGCCTGGCTCACGAAATATGAAAACAATTGAGAATTAAATCAGATCAATAAACCAATCAAGTTGTTCTGAAAAATATTTGCTGAGCCTTGACTTTGACTTGTCGATAATACTCTACTTACGCTCTCTGGTGGGTCTTTCAAAAGTATGACCCCGACAAGCTGAATGGCTGCGTAACAACCTCCAAGCACAAGAAACATTCGGGGAACTCTGTCTAGTACGCTGTCTTGGTCGAAGTATCTGTAGAAAAAAAAATCAAAAGCGAATTGTTTCCACGCGAACCGCGGATGCTCTTCAGTGGCCAAACGACAAATACGATGGACCATGCTGAATGAAAATCCCCATAATGAAAATTGATGATATTAAGTCTCAGGAATGAGTTTTTTGGACCTAGGAGATTTTCGCATGCTAGTTGGCGCTTCCTTTGTCAAAACCATTTTCTTTGCTTTGGTAATGTTTCCTAACAACGGACAGTTGTGTTATATAACGCTTTTGTCAAAACAAATTCCATGTTGTAATCGCCAGTAAAAAACATCGCACTACAGAAGCACCTTTACTGGAGCTCACATTCGCCATTATTCTGAAAACGTCACAATATCTATCGTCACCACCTTATTGAGGGTAATACGGATAGCGTCAAGATTGTAGCCATTTCCATGGTAACATCTATTTTAGATCCGGGGGTTTTCTGTTACTATTGTTATTAATTTTCAGAAATGAGATATTTTGGAATTGTCCAATTTCATGGAACTATTTTTAAAAAAAACGCAAAAATTAACCCCTCTCAAAAAATTTAGATGTTAATAATGAAAACATTTTTTCTTTGTTATGACGTATTCCAGAGGTGCAGGAAAATGTAAGTTAGAACAACCCCAGGAATTCCGGGGATTCAGGGTATTTGGCAAGTATATGCACGAATACAATTATCATCTATCAAAAACGAAAAGTTAGTTGTTAATCATTTACATCGTCACTATGAAATTAAAACTTTGTATTTTAAGGACAAATAAGTTTCCATCTTTTATATTTGTAAATTTGTACTCACTTGTCCTAATCAACAACTTTGTTCGGAGCAAGGTTGTCAGGGTTGAGATAGGCCGTCTGAACCTGGTCAAATATAAACGCTCCGCCTCCAAATCCAGCTACTACAAGGCCATTTACCAGACCCCTTTTATCCGGTAGCCACTGCAAAACGCAAGAAAGATTTGCTTTGCATCAAGTCTAAACAAAGTAAACTGTTTAAGTCCTTTAAGTATCATTTAGGGTATGTTTATACATGTATTATAAGCAGACGAGTAAGTAGCATGACACCTATTGCTAAAGCATATTAGACTTGCATAAACAAAATTCCGCTCTAATGAAGGAGAAAGCATGGAAGCTTAACTTCATTCTTAGATGTTCATGTGTTTACTTGAGAAGTCTTGGCCAACCTAACATACGTGTCGATGATAACAAATGTCCATGATTACTAGAATATTTGTTTTGAAAGTCTATGCGATAGAATATCTTATTTTTTCTATTTGTGTTTTTTTCTGTTGGTGGCAGAACAATTAAAATATAAACGTGAAATTTCACAACTTGTAATTATGCTTTTGTAGGTTGATGACCGGAGAAGTTTACATATAAGGACAAGGTATAAATTCATTCACATTAGAGGAACAGGGACCCGATAATTTGTTACAGCTATATTCCGACCTAAACTTGGATTTTTAGAGTTATTTTACACGTTTAAGTGATTAAGATACATTTTCGGTAAAAATGTCACCCAAAATGATGGATATATCTTCGTGGCCGGTAAACGAATGCAATATCACTCCAAAAATAGTGCTCTATTTGTGAACTAATTACTTAAATTCCAAATTGTTTTAATACCATTCTCTGACTTTGTCAAAAAACAAGAAACGTTTCATATTTGTGTCATGGAACTTTTAAATATCACGGGATAATGTTATACGCGTACCAATTGGGGTAACGTCGTGTTCGCAATCACTGTATGTATATAGAATCATTGAACACAAACTTACAGCAAAGAGTTTACCTGTAGTAGTACTAAACATGACACGTTTACCTTCATTCCACAGCCCATTGGTGTTGCGTATGCAATGCCGACTCCAAATCCAAACATTGCACCATAGGTGAGAACAGTCAAACCGAAGGATGACTGTATTGTAAAATAAGTCAAAAGCACTCCGCCGCTATTTAAAAAAATATCAAAGAAAACAATATTAAGAACCGTAAGTGACCATTTAGCTATTTTTTTGGTAAAGGGTACCAGCATGTTGAACTACATTGTATATCATTACCAATGTCACTACTGTAAAGTGTTTGTTTTATTACTTTTTCAGAAGAAATATATTGCATACAAATCACGTGCTGTTACGAATTATAGTTGTTCTTAATTTAATTGAAATGCTTGAAAATAGAAATGAGAAAAGAAAGAAACCCGGGACCTTCACATTGCACAACCTACAGTTTACTAAAAAAGAAAACAAAAATACAAACATTCTCATACTTGGAACTGAGATTTGACATGCAATGCATCAAAATGATTTTATAATTAAAGAGTCGCAAACCATATGAAAACAAATTGCTGGGTTAAGTAACTCTTCGTCAAAAACGCTCCTATGGAATGCTTCATATTTTATATAGAAAGGGGGGAAATACCAAGTCAAAAATATTCTATGTGGAATTTGTTCTCGCGATTATAACTGATGCATGAGATCACCATTCTCAGCGATTCCTTCTATTCAATTCTTTCACAGGAGATGCGGCAATGATTCTGCTGTTTTTTCCACCGAGGGTTGATGACATCACAAGGTAGTTGAAATATTAGCCAGGTGGTCTTTTATTTCTCTCGCTAATGACTCTATAAGCCATCGTCCTTTTGGAACTATGGATACCAAGGGCTCGGCGCGAACAGCCGATTTGTTAATACAGAACTAATATCACAACTCGTTTATCAGGAGTCCGAGGCCAGAGTGTTGTGTTGCAGAAAACCGGATCATATTTAGCGTAAGTTCGTCAGTGAATCCAGGATCTTATTGATACGAGATGCAAACCATGGCAAACGGGTTGACTCAAATTGGACCTCATGTATATATATGAGATGAAAGTACTTAAGACTCGTTGTTAAGAATTTTTCTTTTTATAATATTTATATATATTACAGTTAGTATTGGGTGAATTAGACCATGATTGTAAACCCTGGGTTGCACATAAGTTATGCCCATACCTCGAAATCCATCCGCCAAGTAACGTAGTAAGTCTCGTTCCAAGCTTCCGGTGTAAAATTCCTCCGATAAATACACTGGCTCCTTGTCCCATAGCTGCTACAGCCATAACCCATAGACTGTCTGCGTAAGTAAGTTCAGCAGAAACGTTCTTTTTTCTCATGTATGACGTCATATATGGCGTCATATTACCTAAGAAATCAAAAGAAAATGTTTTACTTTCATAGTATGGTATGTAAATATTCTTATATTTGTTTTGTGTAAGCAACATTAAGCAGGGTCAACATTTCTAAAAACAAAATAAGCGAATTATAAAAGTACAATTGAAATCTGTACAAACGTATACAAAAATGCAAAAAGTCCAAATATTTTATGACTATGTTACTAAAACTTTTTTTTTATTTTACGAAATATGTTGGTCAACATCATTCACACAGATTTCATCGTGAACTCACAAAACCGCTAATATCCATATATATAAATACATGTATAAGATGAGGAATACATGTATTGGAAACGTATTTTTCTCTACATGCACATACTTAAAAATAATTGATGCCACAAAGGCAAAAATACGTATTCGTGGAAATACAGATATTTAACAGTAGTTAATATATTCTAAACACTTACCAAACGTATATACGGTACCGAGGGTGAGATGCACTAATATGCCTCCAATTATGACAACGTAGCCCCTCAATCTGTGTCTCCCGAGGGGTGGGGACGAAACCATCTTCTTCTCTTGGCTATCGTTCATTGTTGGTCATAGAAATAACGATTTTTAACATCAGGTTGTTAGTCAGGCAATGATCAACTTGTATCCATTGTACACAACTTGTAACACTATGCATCCTCATGTGCCCGGTCATACACTTATCACATGGTTCTCCTATTACTTCACACACATGTGTGATCCTGGGTCTTTTTCAATGACAGATCCGGTTAAGAGATCACTTCAAATCACTGATGATAACCAAATCATTTATTTCATGATCATTTAAAGGAACTATCTTCCTTAAAGTTATAGATCGTTTAAATGCAAACATAGCTTTCAACAAGTGGCGTTGTTCATACTGATAGTGCTACAGAAGATGATTGACTACGTGTGGCTAGTCGTTATCAGTGACAAAGATAGTGGATTTTGAACTGACAAATATTACTGTGTCATACATTTATGTATGTGTGCGTATATAAATATATACTTATTTTCCCACAATCACTATCCCCAAACTCGTGATGGTTTGTTATCATGCACGTCTATAACCCTCATAATTTAATCTTCAACTTGCAGGTAAACCGTGATGCTTTATACGTTTTGAAAATTAACTAACTCGAGTTAGATACGCAGGATCAACAACAATCACTCATCGGGAACTTCTTTAAATGGGATGATAGGAGTATTTCTATTATATATTGCTTTGGATTCATTATTCTTTCATCCATGATAAATGCGTTTAGTAGTGCACTCGATCAATATATATATGTATATGTAATACCGGACTAGATAGTGTAGTTTATAGAAGTATTGACAAATTACTATGAAGTAATATTGTGTTATTGTAGAAAGGGTAAATATCACAACACGTAAGTGTTTATGTGTGACGTTGCGGTGTCTAATACGATACGTATCCTGTCACCTTCATTAGATAAATGACCAATGAAGCGTATGTACACAAAGGTGTGAAATATGTATGAGTTGGCAATATTAAGTCAAACGTCGATTCGGATACGCCATAAGCGTTTGTACACATCACATTAACAATTATGTTCGGCTACGCATTGTTTCACGCCTGGCAATAAATGTGTGAGAGTCTATAAGCCCCCTCGTCTCGATACAGACCAGGCCCTCTGCGGCATATCAAGATGGCTTCCTGCTTGCTATCTCTGTCCAGTATTTTGGAGTTATCCAAGTCATTAACTGGACCTTGCTCCATGGCATGGTCTGTGATCGCAGATTTATTGATATGGGTCTCCGACTGCTTGCTTTCTGATAAGGTGAATTTCGTTTCTCTGGGGTTTTCTGACGTTTTCTGATATTTTGGCGTTTACTGATTATAATATTTCCAAATAAAAAAAAAGTTTTTTTTTAAATTGTGCTAGATATAGAAACGAGTTATTTAGTTACAAATAATTCATTTTTTTACCCGGGAGACAAACAGTGCTTCATTAACTTAAAATCATGGATGAATGGAATATTTATTTAGACATAAAGTCTTTAAGAAAGCATTCGACAAAGTTCCACAAAGATTGCTATTTAATAAACTTAATATGTTGGCTAGAAACAATATTGAGTGATCTCGTCAACAGAGCAAGCCGCCACCAGTAGAATACTGCAAACAAGTGTGCTAGGTCCAATACTTTTTGTCATTAACCTTTAACGATCTACAAGAGTGTACATATTCGTTAACTGTGATGTTTGCAGACGGTTTTGAAATATATTGATCAATATGTGACAATGCCGATGAAAGCATACTCCGAGATAATCTCTGCTATTAATCAACTCGTCTGGTAAATTGCTGTTAAATGTTAAAACTAAAAGCAAAAAGTTGTGATAGTATCAACAAAACAGACGAAAAACGAATCACGGTATCATCAAACGGGCAAGGCAGGGGAAATTATCTACCAAGCGTGATGAATCTAAATAATAAAAACACCTTTCATTTCATCAAATTCTATTGACAAGATTGCATAGTCAATTGGGTAGAATAACAGACAAAGCCTATATACATTCTCTCCGTCAAATTGCCAAAGTGGAATAAACAATGAGACATAATATTTTAGACATGTTGGAAATGAAAACTTTAACACAAAATAATTCATATTAACACAAGGCTAAGGGGAAGTAACTCATGAAGGAAACATCTCACACACCTCATACACACTTACACACACACATACAAGTATAAGTACAAATATATTAATTTCAGCATATATATATACACTATCATTGACAGATATTGGCAGACTTAGACCAAACGTCCATGTACATATATCGCACAGGTCACTGCTACCAACAACTGTTACAATTAAGAATAATACATTAATTTAATACATATAGAGTGTAATTATTTACAATGTCAAGATAAGTACATGTAATAGTCAGAAGTCATGCTCAACTAGAATCTCCTGGATGTTATATAGAATCAGTATACCTTTGTTTTAACATGTACATCGTTGCTTTAAGTCATATAAAAATTAAAACGACGGGATTTTCCAATAAAATAATGCACATCATCAAGTATTCGTCTATTTGTAAGCCAATTACAATCAGGACGGCCCTGAATAAGAATGTTTATACCAATGTGATTGTGGTTGCCATAACTATTAAGAGAATTGAACAAAGTAGTTCTTTGATTATTAAAAATATGATATTCCAAAACGAAATGATATACTGTTTCGTGTTCAGCAGAGCAGGTACAAGCTGGACTATTAGTAAGATGGTCATAGCGTAAATCATAATTTAAATTACTACAAGAGTTTCGAAGTTGATATAGAATAATATTTGCTCTTCTGGTACCTTCTGTTTTGAAAATTGAACAGATTCACTATCAGAAACAATATCTTTATTCAAGTAATTTTTTAATGCTGCAGGAGTGGGAGAATTAAGAAGATCAGAATTTGCAGTGTTAATTGTAAGGTAAAAAACTGTCGAAATAGTTCTACATAATGGTGGGTTGAAAAGCTTAGTTTGTCTGAGAGGGTAGGGGTTATCTTTTTGATTATTAATAAAGGGATTTAAAACATTTTGTAAGTACTGAGGTGTCTGTCCATGCATATTTTTTTACATCATTACATGTTTGTGTTTATTTCGTCTTACAGATAGTGTTTTCCAACCTAGTTCATTGTATAGTTTGTCATGTGATACCCCAGAACGAAGACCTGTTATTATCCTAGCTGCTTCTAATTGTACAGATTCAAGAAGATCTGTTGCCTGTTGTGTACAATTATCCCAAATAATATCTGCATATTCCAAAATTGGCCAAATAAATCCCACATATATTTTAATTACAGATTTTCTATTGACTTTAGTTTTGACATGGCGAAGAATATTAAGTCTATTGTAAGCTTTTTTGTATATAATGTATATGTGCTGTTTCCATATTGCATCATCTTTAAATGGAAGTCCTAAGTGCTGATGTTGTGACTATGATTTGGCTATTTACGAAGAAGAGTGGGAGGTGACGGGTGTCTTATTTTCTAGACAATATGAGTGATTCTGTTTTACTTGGATTGAATTTAATGTCCCAAGTAGTTGCCCATTCACCTATGTTAGTAAGATCAGTGTTGAGAGATTGCGCAGCCTGCGCTGGGTTATTATCTATAATTACATACAGAGAAGTGTCATCAGCAAAATGTTTGATATTGGTGGAAACATTAGTAGTGATATCATTGATATAGAGAAGAAATTATAGTGGTCAGAGGACAAATCCTTGATGTACCCTTCATTTACATTCTTAAATTGTGAAAAGTAACCTTCAGTATTTACTCTTTGCATTCTGTTAGACAGATAATTTTCAAACCACGAAAGTAAATTTCCATTTAAACCATATAATTTCAATTTAAATAAAAGACCTTCGTGCCATACTTAGTGAAGTAATCGTTAAGAAGCTGTGCTTTGTCAGTTGGATGATGGATTATTTGGCCGTTGGATTCAAGTGGCGGAATCGAAGATGATTTATTATAAATATTGGTAATAGATTTAGCTATCTTCCACCATTTGTCTGGAGTAACCACATTATCATTTAGTGATTTTCAAGATTTTTTATATAGTTTGCTTTTGCCTAACGGATAAGGTCAATAGTTTTACTCCGTAGGGTTCGAAATTGTTCCCAATAATGGGGATTATTTGTTAATATAACTTTTCGGTGAATTATATTTCGTTGTCTCATTTTCAATCTAATTGTGTTATTCATCCATGGTTTATCATTTGGGCGCACTGTTATTACTTTTGTAGGGATGAATCTATTGACCTGCTCCGTGATTGCATTAACTATAGTGCTATTAAAAGTATTAGAATCCTGATTTGAAGACAAATTCAACCAATCAATACCAAATAAGGCATTGTTCATTTTATCAAAGTCTGCTTCTTCATATTTTAAAATAGTTTTTTATAGCTTACTTTTTTAAATACAGAATAGGAAATTGAAGCATGTACTGAGAAGTGATCACTGCAAAAAGTTGGAGATACATGAGTATTTTAAACTATGTTTTGGCTATTAATAAAGATAATATCAATGGATGTGGCACTGTCAGGTGTTATTCTTGTGGGTTCATTAATAAGACCAAGTAATTTATGTTTGATAAGGAGTCTTGATAAGTGATCATTCAACGGAAGATTTAACATATTGATATTGATATCACCTGTCAGTACCACATCTAGTAAAGTATCTGAAGCTCTGGTCAACGTATCATCGAATTTATTCCAGTAATCAACATTACTTTCTGGTTTGCAGAAAAATCCAAGAAGAAATATATGATTATTAACTAATATTTTTAACCATATAAATTCAAGATCATCCTTTTCTAGGTCCATTCGCCTATTCATAACAACATTATCCTTGTGATAAACTTTAACCCACCGACCAGTAGTTCTATCTTTTCTATGAATATTGGAATTGAAGGAGTGCATCTGAATGTCAAGGTTAGATATTGAAGGGTTTAAATGAGATTCTGTTATACAGACTATATCATTATCCTCAAATTCTGCTTCTACCATGGCTTGTTTCTGTACTTATATTTTGTACTTTCAATATCACGACTCAAAGTTAACACAACAAAATGTGAAGTCGGAAGAAAACATATGTTATCAAAATATACAGACCTATTATCAAGTAGTATAATAATGAATTGAAAGCCAAGATGTAGATTTTGAAAATACGTTTTAAATAAGCTAAAAATCAGCCAGAAATCAGATTTAGACCATACGAATTTTACACTAAACCTTTGTTTATGAAACTTCTCATTCTGCCTTGCTCATCATGATGTTTAATAACATAACTTAATACAATTATACATAAAAATGCTCTTCCTAATCACCTGTTAACAAACCTTTTAAATAAAATGCCATGCTAAGTAACATTTACTAGATTTCA